CTCAAGTCTATACTTTTTCCAATCCAATTCTCTTTGACCGTCACCCTTCTGATGAACTTCAAGATGAAGTGATGTAAGTTCTTCATTTCTTCCCTCATAAGATTTTTACCCCACAATTAATTCACATGACACAAAGGGCAATTTATTTAGAAATAGTAGAATACTTTGTATCCAGATACATCTTCATCTTCATTAATGGGATAGTTAATCTCTATTTTATTGATTGCTTCTGCTATTGATTTCTATGGCTGTTCAACTGGCAGTGTGATTTGTTCCCAAACACAACATTCTAACAGATGTGCTAATGCCACAAAAATCCATGAATGAATAAGGCCAAGATCTACTTCTAACAATTCTAATGTATTGTTCCTAACCAAGACTTACTGGAGTAGCTTTATATGTCTCAAGATTTAGTTACTTGGGTTTCCTTCTCACTGAAATCTAAAGATCCATATTCAGAAGTCACTGTTTGCACTGAGTTCAAGGGTACCAAAATAGCGCCTCTGCCTTGGATGAAAATCACTGCTTGAGGTTGGTTTGAGGAACTTGAACCCATCTCTACCTTAAATAAAATATGGCTTCCAAATGACAGCCAGTGTTTTTCAGGAATGCAGAGAAATTTAATGTCATGTTTGCCAATTTTATTTTCTCTTTTATTTTTCAATGACAGCCAAATGCTATATACTGATACACATTATGAAATAACAGAATGTAGAAATGAAATGTAAGATGTGTTGCACTCTTGAACAAAGAATTTATTTTTCTTGACAGGTTTTTTTTTCAGAGTTACCAATATATTCTGGCCCTAGTGTTTGCGGTAAAGCAGATCAATGAAAATCTCCAACTTTTGCCAAACGTCACCCTTGGGTTCAAGATTTATAATAGTAATTTCAGTCCAAGCTGGACCTTCCTTGCCTCAATGAAACTTCTTTTCATGCACAGCGCATTCATTCCAAACTACAAGTGTGACTTGGGGAACATTCCTATAGCAGCAATTGGAGGACCTGACATCTGTCTCCACATGTTGAACATACTGTCTATCTACAAAATTCCACAGGTATTCCCAGGTTCATAGATCATCTCTAGTTCACATGATATTCCTTTGCAATTCATTGGAAGCACTGTGTTTGGGAGTTAGGAAAAGGTTCATTCAAGTACCAAAGGAAATATTTCAGTATGAGGATAGATTTTAGGGGTTTGTTGAATCCTTTAAAAGGGGCGGTTCACAATATATATTATAATGGAAAAAAGTGCCTATTTATGAATATTGAAACAGTTGCATGTTTCTCCAGGCTCTTAAATCTTCTGCAGAAACTGCTCCAGGCAGTATCTTCCTGAATCTACCTGCCTCCTGGAAGAAATATGCAATGGTTGATGTTTAGAAAGCAGCAATAACATTTACAAAATGTACTTTTATTCCAACGAAGAGAGGGACACACTAACACATTTTGCTTTGTCTTGTCTTGCTCTGCTAAAAATCTCTAGCTTACATATGGCTCCGCTCCAGTAATGAATACAGAAACCCAAGGTGTATTTTTACAACAGATGTTCCCCAATGAGTCTGTACAAAACAAAGGAATCCTCCAGTTACTGCTACATTTTAGATGGACATGGATTGGAGTTCTTTCTGTGAAAGATGAAGTAGGGGAGAGGTTTGTATGGGACGTTCTCCCCATGTTTTCTCAACGTGGAATCTGCTTTGATTTTATGGAATGGTTCCCAAAAACATCTTTTTACAGTGATTTTATGGAAATGATGGATAAAGGACTCGAAATATACAGAGTTGTCATGAAAAGCACAGCCAATGTGATAATTGTGTATGGCGAAATTCAGACTATGGTATTTTTAAAATCGTTTCTCCGTTTTTCAGAAGTGGAAGACATACCAGTGAGGACAAAAATCTGGGTCATGCCAGCACAAATGGATTTTGCATCAATATCTGTTCATAGATCCTGGGATATAAGTTTCATCCATGGTGCTTTATCGCTCTCCGTTCAGTCCAAGGAGGTGTTTGGATTTCAGGAATTTTTTCTAAGCA